TAAGATTTTCAGCTCTTTAGAGCATTTTAGCTACATTTTAGAACCATTTGAAACGAGACAACTTTTTGCCGCCGTCTGTCAGCCATTTTGTTTTCATTCTGAGACTGCAGTCCATCTGCAACGCAGGCGCTACCAAAAATCGCTGATTGGTTTATTTTGACATCTCCATGAAAAAAACTGAGACTGTAACGCATGCGCTATCGATGCGCTACTAACTTGAAGCGTAATATTCACCACGACGAAAAGCCAGTTGCATTTTTAGACGTGTGCTTCCACAGGAAGCCCACGTAACAAGGCTGCATCACGGTTATCAGGGTTGTCAACATGAAAATTGAAATCACCGACAATAAGAATTCTTCCAGGGTGAATGATGACATTTTCAAGAAGGGTTCCAAACTCCTCATTAATGAAGTAGCGGGCTGAGTTGTCACATGGTGGCCTGTAGACGTTAATAAGACAAACCGAGACAGATCTTGAAGATAGGACTAAATCAAGATACTCAAATGTTGAGAATGATTTACGAGTTGACAATTTGGTTGTAAAGCCTTTATGATGGATAATACCCCTTCCAAATCTTGCTTGATGAGTTATATCAAAGTGAGGGAGTGTGTTTGTTATTAACTTTTATGAGATTATAAAGTCACAGATCGAGGCAGTTTTCTTGTCAATAGATCTAGCGTTCCATAAACCAAAATTGGACTTGASAATAGTGCTGTTATTCGTTGGCAGAATGATTATTGGGATTAAAAATCTAGTCACTCGATGGTAATGAGATGCAGGTTTAAAGCTTCGACGAAACCGGCGATGCATAACAGTTGAGATATTGTGAAATGAATTAGATTTACTTCTATCTTAATCCACTGTAGTATCTGTTAATGCCCTTTTCCGTCCACCACGCTTGCCCCTTGTCTTTCTGAGAATGCCAAATGCAAGTTGTTTGAAGGCTGACCAAACGGACGGACAGAGTGGTTTTGTTCTCTGTATGCCAACATTTTCGCGGGAGATTTGAAAACCAGAGTGTCGCAGCGCAGTTTTATACCAATATCCCAGCGAAAAAAGCTGTAATCTGGAATAACTAGCCATTAATAAGTCGACGAAGAGTTTAGACTGCTAATGAGTGTTGTAGTTTGTCGAAAGCAAACATAAAACAGGATAAAATTAGTTAAATGTTAGCATCGGAGCAGGCAGCCATCCGGCGCATAACAATTCAGAATATATGGATCCTGACAGAGTGTCACGAAAAACTATATGTCCGGGAGTCAAAATAATTCACCAAAATCACAGTAGATATTTAAATCCAGTCTAATCAAAGATATGTTACTGTGTTTAGGTGTAAATATTCTTCCTTTTGACCAAATCCAGTTGACAATTGAAGCTTCTCCGCCGCTCGGCATTGTATACAATCGACTTCGCACTTCGGTTTTTCACATCTCTGGACCGACTCCCGGACAGAATTGCCACGAACAACAACTATATGTCCGGTAGTCAAAACTATTTACCGAAATCATTTATGATATTTTAGTATCAAAAGTTTGTGAAGGTAAATCTTAAGAGGACAAATGATAAGTGAGTCAATCAGTAAATAGAAAAACCGTAACCGGCTAGAAATACAGTATTTATAATATTTATACTATAATTTGTACGATCACCAAAATTGTTCAGATTCGCACCCTGATTTCKGATTGGTGATTTGGAAGTGTGATGATTGATAAAATACAAGATTCGCAACTCTATGGTTGAGAGTTTTGCGAGTTTTTTCAATATTGAAAAATTTCTATAACACAATCTATTATACTAAAGCTTCAGTGAACTGTGATATTATATGTACTTTCATTTCTAGAGGAAAGCTGAACTAACTTTGCTTTTTTTTTGTCAGATTATTATGTTYATTAGGTCGATCGACGACAAAATATTAATTTTAAACTCCATTGTATTAAAGTAAATCATTGTATTAAAGTAAATCAGGATAGATACATATATACATGCAGGCATGGATACAAATAAATTACGGTCTGCAGTCTGAAGTCTGCAAGCCTGCAGTCTGCTTGTGTCAGACACCGGATCAACTCTGGATCCCGGGACGGACTTCTACACTGGCAATGGTTGTGTTAAGCCAACATACAGTAGTATTGCATAAGTGACATATAAAACAGCAAGAATCAAGTTTACGTCGAAATGCAAACTGCTTCGACTAAAAACTGAGTACCATCGCCGTGTACCGTGTAACCAACTGCGTCATAATTTTCCGAACACGCGAGTGGGACTTAGAAATGTTTTGAGGATCTTGGTTCTCGTCACTTAGAAAAAAAAATTGATCACGAGCYCGATAAGATTCGAACGTGCGAACCCTAAATAAGACCTATCCGGTCATTAACCCTAAACCTAACCGTTACGCCACGAGTATTTAAACAATTTCTCATTAACATTTCACTATTAAATATATAAAAACGAAGTTTTTCATATGATTATCTATGAAATACCTATATTTCTCAATTTCGGAAAGTTGATATTTTCAACACTCGTTTATTACAGAGTTTAAGCATCACGTTTACGGCTAACGGCAGAGTTGAACCGATGACCTAAGAATTTCGTGCCTGACCTTCGTGCGACTTTTCACGATTATGGCAACCCCAAAATAACCCACTCCCTCGTTGAAACTGCAACGTTAAACCCCCAAAAAGCAGGTCACGTGATCTTTTCTGCCGTTTGCCGTAAATGTCATGCTTAACTTCTCTATTTCAGTAGAGCAACTTATCTTCGTGGAAACGCCGACGCCATATTTTGTTGATTTCGATTATACCTCCCCGCCTCGTTTCGCAATTGGTGAGCAATATACCCTGTAAACTAAAAATGTGTGTCCCCACTTTTGTTAGAAATCCGCCAATCCAATTTGATAATACATCTTTTGCCGTTCATTAGGATGTATTGATAACTTTTATTGTAATTATCCTTGAACACCGCAAGTAACACGAGCATTCAGCAGTATCAATAGATAATCGACTGAACGACTGGACAATCATTTGAGTGGAACGTTGTTTCTTGTGCGCCCAATGAAATTTCAATAGCACCAAATGACAAACGGTTGCATTTATTGACAATCATTTAAACAAAAATGAAAATTCATTAGTGTCATTAGCATAAACACAGGCAWTCTATAACGCGTTTGGATAATCATAGAATCATAGCCATTCGAAGTTAAGTTCTTTAGTGCGTTTTGACCCAATCATTTGAGCAATTCAAAAAACAACACAAAAGAAACAATCAACACGTTTTCGTTACGAAATTAGGGACTGTGCAATAATTAGCAGGAGGGGGGACGTAAAACCAGATTTCTCAAGCAGAATATTAGCCGGAACCCCCCTCCGAAGCATAAGAAAATAGCTCTTACCCCCCCTCCGCTATACTAGAAATAACAT